CATCAACTGTAGTTTAGTTCTGTAGAAAGCTTAACAATGGTTTGATCTGAGGGCCACTACAAGGTCATTTTTTTGACCTCTTCTGTGCTTAAACTAGAGATCAAAGCACAGATTTTATGCGCTTGCCTTTGTTAGGTGCCTGATCTTCCTGCAGTAAAACTAAATCAATCTCTCTATAAAACAAACTTTATATTTAGACAAACCCTGATCTTTGCCTTTAGAACAAATGTCAAATATTGCTTCTGGTGGTGGCAAGAGCATGAGCCAGGAGGACCGACCATTGCTTGACATTTTGTTCTCATGAGTAATCATCCGCTCCTGTAAAATTACTACCAGAGATGTGTAAAAAAAAAAAAACAAAGAAAAAGCATACAATAAAGGAAATTACTTTAGCTGCCTCACTAAGTAAAGCTGAATTAACATTACACAACTTGGAATTCATAAAGCAACATTCATAAAGTCATGTTTACAAATCCCTCTGCAGCTCCCCTTAATATCTTACAATATCTATGTTAACGGTAAAGGTCTTGGTGCAGGGAAATCATCTCATTAAAATATTACTTAAATATTCAGGCTACCAGACTGATTAGGAGTATATTTCACAACCAGAAATCTCATATCACTATCTGTTACTTTCCCTTCCCTCACAAAACCACACACACGCCCACACAAAATAAATTAATACATACAGTATGGTAGAGCAGAAGAATTTGTATCTAAACAAGTCTCACTCCACATGACGAGGCTGTGATCTCTCCAAAGTGGGAGATACCAGTAATCTACTGAATATGACAAGCAATGGGTGTGATATAAAAAAAAAGAATGTATGACACATAATCACCAGTAATAAGAGATGTGCCTGGCATGTGCCTACTCATCTGAGTCAAGTAGAGAACAAAGGTAATGAATAAATAACTTAGCCCATCATCAAGTGGAATGATAAATCTACTTCATAACACTTGCTTGCATGATAGAAGCGTCAGGTTTTTGTGAACCTCTTGATGAAAAAGTGGCCTGTGAAATGTGTTCAGTAGAAGGTGTCACTGCCCTCTGCTGCCTCCTCTTTCACCCACTCCAACCCTGTCTTATTATTTCAGAGCAGCAATAAATTAAGCAGGAAAAAAGCCTGTTGTGTGATTCTGCAGATTCCATGTGCTTTTAACAAGGCTTTCCTGAAGGCTCAATTTAAACTCTCAGGCTTTTGATGATGAAGACACAGCTTCCACGTGCCTGGCAATGACAGATTCATTACTGTTTTTGAATATTATGCTGTTGGTGGGTATCAACCCCTGAGAAAAAGGCACACAGCATATGGACCAAGGTGGCTGTGGCACCGGATCACTGCCTGCTGCACACTCATGAATTATGGAATTCGGCACAAATATGCAAATCTGGGCATTAGCCTAGTTATGCCCCTGTACTGTAAGTTACAGTAACTTATCTATTATGTATGAACCAAGGACTGGAGTGAAGAGTTCCTAGCAGGCAGCTTCATGGCCCTCTCAGTTGTTCACTTTTTCATGATGAAAGAGCATGAAAAGCAGGAGATATCTGTCGTACCAAAACATTAACATTCTTCTGCTCTGCATCTCCAAAAACTTGGGAGAATTAGAGCTTGCTTCCATGCTCAATTGCCAAGCTGCTTAAAACAACAATGGCTTCCACAGGATTTGGAAGCCTGGAAGATATGCAAGAAATAAGCATAAAGTTGTTGATAATACTCTAATTTGCCCCCACAAGGCTGATATGAAATGCTATTCTGATCAGTAATCAGTCCACAGGGGGAGGCAGACAGCAGATCCAGCCAACTCTATAAGCACACACAAGAATCAGTCTCTCTATGACATTATCATCACAATGCTGGATAAGTGATTGTACTCATCTGACCTAATCATGGTAGTGTAAATATCCAGAATCAAGCAGCCAGTAGAAGAATCCGCTAGCAGGTCAAACAGCTCATTCTTGAAATGAGGCGCATACTCTGCTCAGCCCAAGATGAACAGAGTGATCATTAGCTCGGATCAAAGTCAGTCATCAAGCACATGACAGCTGACAACCTCTATTTAACTGGGTGCACAGGAAATAATGATACCTGGTCCTCGTGAAGCCAGTTACTATGGTAACAAGAGGAAGCCAGTCCTTCACACAGTCCCATAGAAGTCAATTGTTCTGCTTAGTTTTAATAAGAGAATATTTACTGTTGTGAAAATTACATCTGAATTTTCCTCTCTTTTTGTGTAAGACAATGTAGGCTATAGAGATGTTACCGTGCATTTTTGTCCTGTGCACTTTTGCACATAATTGTGGAACAAGTGTGTAGGCTTCAGGCCACTTGGTGGGCAGCAGGTCACTGACATTTGAGAACCAGCATTACCTAGGAGATGTGCTACATTTACGTATATAGGAGATTTTCCCCTTTTGTTAGCAATTATACAACAGCATTTGCTGTAAAGTTTGTATTCCAAGCCAGGCTAACTAGCTTTGACCTGGAGAGTAGAAGACAACCAGACTAGGTTGCTAATGTTAGCACTGATTCCCACATTTGTCTCACATTGCACATAGGCAAGGAACTAGCGCGCATTAGTTGTCTTGCTGTCAAATGTGACAGCAAATGACCAGGCTGTTCACAGCAATAAGGAGTCTTCTGATCTCACCAGCTTGTGTCATGACTCAAATCACAACATGAAGTATAGTATAAAGCATGCAGAGTCACGGAGTAACACAAGACGTTTCACAGGTGGTCCTGAGAAACAGTCAGTCTCCAGCTGTTTAACTGCCTATGTGGCTGCTGAAATTAAAGTGATATTACAAACTAGAGTTAATGCCCTGGACCCCTGGAGAACATTAATACATGAGTGCTATCGCTACAGAAAAATACATACATTTATTTACCTTTCTCTTTTCTTTTTTTCTGTAAATAAATTTCACCAAATAAGCACACACATCAAAGCAAAACATCAAGAATAAATATTCAAATTTCTTAGCAAAAATTAATCTTCATTTTGGACTTCAGTGCAGAAATTAAGGTTTGAGATTACATCAGGCACATTTCCTAGCAGAAAACTCTGATTCTTTCATGAAAGCTCTTTAACTTCTCACAAGGGAGAGTCAACCAACCCCTCTAGCCACATAAAGTGAAACACTCTGGAATTAATTTGCATTCTTAACAAATATCCCTGTATGCTGCAGCTAATAATTTTCATCCTTTAATTCAATGAATATAACCTCATTAATCATTATTTACATTTTCTTGTTATTTTCGTTGCTCTTGATTAGAAAAGCTCAAGGAAAAGAAAATGGATTTTTGCTGTGTTGCTCCGCTCTCCCACCCCCCTCTTTGTTCAAGTGGAGCCAACTAGAAAAACTCCATCGAACAAAACATAAAAACAGAAAATTGTACACAAGAAACAGTTTCTCTCCTCGCCCCCTCCCCTTCCCACATGAAACTTTCCTCATATTATAGTGTAACATCCACTGGTGCTGTATATTTGTCCAGTCATACATCAATGAGACACCTTGAGGTTTCTTTGGAGATTTAGAAATCATAACGCCTCCCTGAACAACCATCATCTTTATAACCACACTCATAAACACTTACTGTCAGGAAAATCCTACCATCCAAACCGTTGCCTTCTCTCTAACTTTACCTTTACTTACACATATGGTTCCAGCCTGAATGAAAGCATACAAAATATCTACCTCATTAGTTGGGTATGAAAATAACATGTGACCCCTCTTTTATACTGTTTTTGTCCTTTGTTGTCTTTCTGTAACCATCATTTCTGAGCAGTATAATTTTTCACCTGAGAAATTACTTATGATTTTTTGTGTGTATTTATCGTTATATGCATCATTTTGCTACTTTTATCACACCCACACCTTGATTGAAAGTGTATTCCTTCATATTCTTCCTATATCTATCTTTTTGATATCTTGTGTACCCAAATTTAATTTAAAAAATTATTTACTCATGCACATTCACATAATGGTCTAAAGCCTGCTGAGTGCTGATAAAAAAAAAGCTCACTTTCAGGAGCATGATTGCTAAGTGATGCATATGACTAAGACTGTTAACAACCAAACCATTTTATAAGTCCCAATTTTAGCCATTGGACAAAGTGGAGCTGATGCTGAAAAAAAAACATGTTTCATTTGAATTTCATTTAAGAACTCATTCCGGTCAAACACTGGCTTCTGCCTTTGAGAAATCTGACACCAGCTCACATAAACCAACACCCACATGCTCATAATAAAAGGTAAATTGCACAACCTAATGCTGGAACAGGTAGATCTGATGCCAGATACAGGAGAAGTGAAGCTAGGGGGAAAACAATGTCACATCAAGGCTACACTTCACTAAGCACAGGAGAGTGGCAATTATCATTAGCTGCACTTGTCTGATGAGATCTAAGCTGTAACTCCAGCATATGCTTTAACGCCAAGACACAGTGCGAGCTCTTTCAGTTGTCATCCACCAGCTTTCTGCACTACAACTTCTGTGAATGTCTGCCTTAACTCCCCTTTGATTCGCCTTTAACCACACCAACTTATACATTTCATTCAAAACTTTGAATGCCTCAAAAGTGTTCATGAGAAGTTGATTTTATATGTCACAGCCAGTAAGCTCTCCGGAAGAGTGTACTCCTGGGAGCTTATAAAGATAATTTATTAGATGTAGCATTTTAATTAGTCTGATCGATACGCAGGATTTAATGTGAACTGCAGGAAAAAAAAGACAAGGCACTCATTTCACATGGACGAATGATCTTTTTTCAAAATGTCAGAGAATCGGCTCGCTGCAAGGCCATGCTCGATTTATTCTTGCTTAATAATTGATAGATTAATCACTCGTGAATTCAAAAGCATAAAACATCCTTTTGTCAGAGGCTGGAGATCCAAGTGTTGCGTTAAAGGGTGTGTGTGGAGACGCTGTATCGTTCAGGAGCAGCGTTTTTCCACACAGACAAACTAGAGGAAATCTTTAGAGAAAATTGGGTTACCTCGCACGAGTGGGTCGGTGAGGATCTCAGCGCGCCTCTTGGGTTTGGGCTGATCTCGGGAAGGAAAGGTGGCGATGATCCTGAACCACGGAGCGCACTTTTGCACACCGTCTGTCCACATAGAAGAAGAGCGCTCGTCTCTTCTCGGCCGCTCTCATCACCGATTCATTTGAAAGCAGACACCGGAAGAGGGAATGGAGCCCTTGTCTATTCAAAGTGGATAGGTCGAGTCCGTCTCTGACTCAAGAAGACGAGCCTGTGTATTAAAACGCGGGTAGAGTTGTGCCCGAGCCGCTGCTTTGCGTAGCGGACTGAAGGGAGCAGGGAGGAGCCGTCTGCCGTCAGATGATCAGGACAAGGTGCTCTCTTCACTGATACTGTGCAGTCCTCAGCCTAGCACAGATGCTGTTCTGACTTTAACACAACAATCCCCATGGAGTCATCGACTTTCAACGGGGAATACTACTTACACGAACACCCTTATTTCTAAGAGTAGGCTATAAAGAGAGTATAATAACTATTTATTATTTCAGCTTTAATCTAAATATGACAGATGGGCTTTACCAAAGCACCCATACCTAATGACCAAGCAGATTATATTAAACTGCGTCTATAATGTCTGATATGACTGGGTATTAATATCAATGAGAAAATGAGACATGTTAAAATGCTGCGCTAGTATAATTCCACATGGAAATGCTGGACTGCCAGCAAAAGATTGCCAGGGCATCACAAACTATCACACCATCATAACCCACAGAAGATTAAAGGTACAGTCCACAGATTTCAGAATTTGGGGGGGCGGGGGTCAACTAAATCATTTCATTACGAGGATAAGGGCGCATATTTTCAGATGGCATTTCCAGGAAGACATTAAGACACTCTTTTGGGCAACATGAAAAGTGTCACAAATTGTTGTTTAACGAATGAAGAAAGAGATCCAGTAAGAGAACTTTAAACCCTGCTTGCTTTCTCACCTCCCCACATCTGAGTAATCTGGTGTGAAGTGGGTGTTAATGTCTAATAATCTGTTTTGGAAAGAAACAATTGGAAACAGCCCAATAATGTTGGAGCTACAGTGACCTTTTCCCTCTAAGGGAAAAAGAATGAAGAAAAAACACTGCCATACCTAGTCACATCTGCACCTTTGCATCATTACTGTTAGACGCCTCCACTCATTCAGATTTTCTTTAATTTGTCACTTAGTGTGCATATATTACATAGAAATGGGTGTGTTATTGTATTAATGTGGTACTGTACTGCACATTGTAAGGCAGCATTTAGACAGTTTCTCTTGCCCTTTATACATAGGTCCACGTTATACTTGTCTCAAAAGTGATTGATATTTTTTCCGTACCCAATGGAAAGGAAACTTTAAACTCCACTTTAAAGCAGTCTAAGATGAACCTATGCTCATTAACATAAGCACATTACCAATCTTCAGTTATTCCTCCTTTCACGGTTAAACAACTGCTTGAGTTGGTAAGTTTAAAAACAGACTCATCACCTCACAGAAGGGTGCTTATGTCTAAAAAAGACAAAGCTCTTTTACAAAGTAAGGGTTACATATGCCTGTGAGCGACATGTGAATCCAAATATTCTAATTCATAACTGAAGTGTATGCATGTGTGTAACATCCCCATTCTACACTGATTACTTTCTACAGGAGACTGTCTCAGAATCTGTCCTGCTCTAGCCCAATGTCTAAAAAGAGAGGGCAAGTGAAGGGCGCATTTATATTTCAGCAGCTCAGTCCACCTTTAGAGAGAGCCAGGAAGAGAGGGATCATATTTTATTGCTTAAAAATGTATGGTGTATGTAGGACAGCTGTATGTAGGTTTTAATGCTGAGAAATGGGAAGAGCTAATCACAGCCTAGTCAGCACCAGTGAAGCTGACATGGGAATTTGAATTAAAGAGATCAGTTTTAATTTTAAAAGAGCTCAAAAGAAAACTAAGATTTTGTTCCTTCTTAATAAAATTTAATGTATGTTGGGAAATGGGAAATCTGGAACCCCAGGGGTTTGCAGAGTTAGACTAGTTAGGGGCTGTACCTTGCAGCTTCTAGATGTATTTGATAATTTATCAGGTGCCTGTTCTCAGAGCAACCTACAGCTCACAGCCTGCAAGACACCTGGAGTCAGAAGGCCTTGAGCTAAAAATAAACTTTTCATGCCGAGTCAATAATATTTAAATACTTCAAAATCATATCATCAATATTGTTAACTTTTCAAAGGAGAATTTAACATGAAATCTGCTGTGCAAGCTATTATTTAATGGTATCTCATAACTTTCATATTTATTTCACTGCAACTTTACACAGTCCTTTCTTTTTATCCCTCACTAAATTATTTGCAGAGGGATTATTTGTTATGCTGACCCGTCTATCACTCACCAATAATTCCACCACAACTGTCTTTTACTGACGCTCGAGTGTTCTGTGTTTGCCATTGCAGCATGTTGTTTAATCTACTTCCATGACACTACCAGGCAACTGCACTGGTGTTGCTCAGACTTGTCCCATCCTGGCCTGGAAAAAACTCCAACTGATAAAATTTTCATTGAACAGATGAATCTGAGTGTAGTTTTATAATTCCCTGGTGAGTTTCATCAGCTGGTACTGATATCATTTTACCAAGACCGGTGTTATTCAGTAACACATAATTTTGTAACTTGCCAAATAATCTATTTCTCCTATTTTCTTGCATTGCCTCAGATGTGTTCACATATTTTAATGTGTAAAAACAATGATATTTTTCTTTCGCTGTTGGCACTGTGTGTCCTGCCAAACTGCTGCAATTGTGGCATATGCTTTTTGTTTATTTAAACATTTGGAAATCACAGGAGGCTCCTGGTTAATTATTCAGCCAATCTGATATTTTCCATCATATTTTTTGTCATTGAAAATAGGAGTATTATTTTTCCACATGAAGATCATTTTAGGTTTTGTTTTGTTAGATTTTTTTTTTTACTGTTTTTACTTGTTATACTGTAGTGTATGAACTAACTGATGCTTAAACACTACATGATAATCCCAATAAAACTAGGTTTTCATTAAGATGATGTGCGCCAATTTAAAGGTATGTTCCAGCAAGTCAGATCCATACCAGTAACGCAAAAAAAATTTACTCTTTGGTGGTATTCTAGTTCTTGTTTATTTGCCCCCCAAAGGTCAGTGTACCAGCTGTGTGTGTGTGGCTGTGTGTTGTGTGTCTGTTATATTCAACTACAGAAGTTTCTCTCCTTTTTCTCATCTTGGTGCATTTAGAGGTTAACGCCAGCCACAGATGCTCAGACTGAAACACTTTAAAGTCACACAACTGCATCTTCACCTTAAAGGTAATAATTTTGGCCACTTGGGGGAGGACACCTTATATTGCCTTATAAAGTTGATATGGTGAAGATGTTATCAAAAAATCAACAGATATTTAACAGCATTAACATTTTTTATCCCTCTGCCACAACATATCAAGGAACTGTCCAGGGAAATAAAAGAGGGAAATTAGTTTTAAATAGGCTAACTTTGAAACATACCAACTTGAATTTGTTTAGTGGGACAGCTGAAGCTGCATTTCAGTTTTAGACATGTTTTCACAGTGAGTTTTTCACAGAACAAAAGTTGTGTAGTTCGTACCTCATTCTGTGCAGCACAGTGACGTTCTAGTTGGAAACATTCAGGGTCAATGTGACAAAGACCTATTCTCACATACAGTACATAGGAATATATCAATGTTTTTTAACACCTATTTGAAAAATCCTGAACTATTCCTTTAAAATGCTTCACAGTGTTCACCATCATTTGTAGAATACTCTGGAATTACCAAAATGCTTTTTTGTTGTTGTGTGATTCTTGCAGAAATCATGTGTGCTGCAGTCCAAAACAAAATTAGCAATAAGACAAGAAGACCAAAATAAATAAATAAATAAAATGGAGAAAAAAAGAAGAAGCTTACAAGACACTGTAGAGCTTAAACAAACTTGAACATTGGGTGAAACTTTTCTGTGCATTTGTCATTACCGGCATTCAAATTTTACATTACTCATAATAATTTACTGTACTTTATGATTAGTACAAAATATGAAATAGTGCAGCTTTAATTTGTGCTGCCTAGAGCTAAATTGCATCTGTTAGTGCCAAATGTCTTTTAGTGCCTCTGAAATTTGGAAATCCATGAAATCCAAGGAAGTTAAGTTTCGCAAGTGACTCACAGCTTCATTGTGACTTCAGAAGAAACTCTGACACCAGGCTTGGATCTCAGTATGATTTTATGTAGAAGTAAAAAAAGCAGCACTCCAGGTCATTCATTGCAATTGCTCATTCCTACTTGCTGATTATAAAGAAAACAAAGCTATAAATAGGAAATACCATTGGGTGTGAGGTGGTTCATTCACCATGGTGACAGAAGAGGCTGACCTATCAATTCCTTGCATGGTAATGAAATACTTTATTTTCCTGGAGGACAGACTCAAGAGCTGTGACCTCACACTCTGTTGCTCCTTGACCTACTGCTGATAATTCAAAATACAGAGTGCTCTGATCATCCAGTGAATGAAGCCAAATCATGCAGCAGTGGAACAAGTATTCAGATCCATAACCTAATGTAACAATACCACAGTGTAAAAATACTTTCAAGTAAAAGTCCTGCGGTCAAAATGTTGCTTAAGTAAAAGTATAAAGATGTTAGCATCAAAATATACTTACAGCATCAAAAGTAGAAGTAGTCATTATGCCTAAATTAAGGATTAAAATTATTAATATATTACTGTGCACATCATTTTTATATGTTTTGAATTTAATAAATACAATTTAATTCACATAGGATTAGTACAATCCTATAATTTTATTGTATTTCATGTTATTAAGTTGATTTTGAAAAATAATTAGTAACTAAATGTATAAAATAAGGAGCAAAAAGTATAACTTTTCTCAGAAATATAGTGAAGTCTAAGTATGAAGAAGCAGAAATGCAAATACTCAAGTAAAGTATAAATATTTGATATCAAAACTGTACTTAAGTACCTACCTACCTTGATGAAGATAGGTTAACTGTTTCCCCTGTTTACAGTTTTTTGTGCTAAGCTAAACTAATTTGCACGTTCATATTTAGTGTATAGATATGACATTGGCATCAATCTTCTTACCTAGTGTAAAGAGAGTGAGCATGCTTACAGAATGACTATTATTATATTCATAAACATCCATATTCATAAGTATGTAACAAATACAGAGTCCTGAGAATTTATTTATTTATTCATTTTGGTGTGGTGTTGTTCTTATGAGGATTAGAATCTGAGTAATACAAAAGTAAGAAATGTCCTTCATTCAGTGATTCACTTTGTGTGATACAGAAAGT